AACGGAATTTAAGCCACTACTACCATGTTTGTTGCAACTGTGTCTAAGCCACTACTACCATGTTTGTTACAACCGTGTCTAAGTCACTACTACCATGTTTGTTACAACCGTGTCTAAGTCACTACTACCATGTTTGTTACAACCGTGTCTAAGTCACTACTACCATGTTTGTTACAACTGTGTCTAAGTCACTACTACCATGTTTATTACAACTGTGTCTAAGTCACTACTACCATGTTTGTTGCAACTGTGTCTAAGCCACTACTACCATGTTTGTTACAACCGTGTCTAAGTCACTACTACCATGTTTGTTACAACCGTGTCTAAGTCACTACTACCATGTTTGTTACAACCGTGTCTAAGTCACTACTACCATGTTTGTTACAACTGAGTTTAAACCATTACTACCATGTTTGTTACAACTGTGTCTAAGCCACTTCTACCATGTTTGTTACAACTGTGTCTAAGTCACTTCTACCATGTTTGTTACAATTGGATCTAAGCCACTCCTACCTCTTTTGTTAAAACTTGATCTAAGCCATTTATTCTTCAAAGCTGATCTATTTTAGTAACTACGTTGTTTGTTAAAACGTATTCGAAACGACTACTACCCGTTCGTTAAAACAGTTTCTAGACCACTGTTCCTTAGATCACGGTTCTTACAAGATGCTCGGTAGTTTTATTATAAGGCCTAGCGACTATAAATTCTGATTTAACAACGATGAATGGTATGATTTATAGAGGTGTTAGATAAAGTTAGATGATAAGTTGGTCTCCCACGTTGCACAAGAAACAGGTTAACATTAGTGTTAATAAGCGAACAGGTCCCGTACCTGTGTAGTGTATATGTGTGTATGATATATTAACCTTTCAAAGAAACAGCAAGATGTCCAACACTTAGCCTTAAGAACAATGCCATCTGGATTCCTGTTTGCTAATTGTAGAGGACTATTACTCTTGGCGAGCGACGTCATTTTATGTTGTCATGCTTTCTGTATAACGTGAAAGTAAAAAAATAAAGAATTATTTCAATGATCTGAAAGTAAAGCGAAAATTTGGGTATTTTTGACACTGCTGCACCACATTAAATGTCATCTGTGTAATGGATTTTATTAAAAGGGAAAATAAAATTAGTCAAATAATATTATTTACATCAAAAGTGTATAGGGAAAATTCAACACTATATCATAATAATGAATATATATATAAAACACTTTCCCAAAATGAGACATTCGTGACAAATTCCGAATATATTTTTCGTAACTCCAATTATTAGAATGTTTAGCAGAAACTAAATTGGAACCAAAAAACCGTCAAATGTGATTCACC